CTATACTCCCATTAGCTCTGGAGCCTTGTGTCTATTTCTGCACCCTAGATCAGATCACCATCATCTCCTGCATGGATCAATGAAACAGACGGTCACTGGTTTGTTTGTTTCCACTGTAGTTTAGAGTTACTTTATCCAAATGCAAGTCAGAGCTACTGGCTTGAACCTTTGCTCTTTGCCTCTCTGTTGGAACATTTTCTACATAAAAAATACATAATCTCATAACAAAGACAATCTCATGTGCTTTTGTATCCAAGTCTCCTTAGTTTTTATCTTTAATGAAAGCTATTTGGAACATGGAATTCCAAATACTAAGAACAAACAAGGTTCTGATCTACCACATACCCCTTTCACTTTTTTTCTCTAGTCTCTCTTTACAGAGAATTAGGCTTCAGGGTTCAAAACGTCAGGGTTGTGTGATTTCAAATTTGTATCCCCAATGATGATCACAGGTCTGTCGTACAGATGGAAAACAATTTAGTCGAATAATAAGCCCATAATGAGCACTCAATAATATATGTTTTCTAACTTCTAAATAAGGAAAATATGCAAGAGGGCCACTGCTATGGATTGAATATTTGTGTCCTCTAAAATTCCTATGTTAAAGCCCTAACCCCCAAATGATGGTATTTGGAGATGGTCCTTCTAAAGGTAATTAGGTTTAGATTAAGTCATGATGGTGGGGTCCTCATGCTGGGATTAGTGCCCTTATAAAGGAGAAAGAGGGAGAGGGAGGGAGGGAGGGAGAGAGAGAGAGAGAGATCTTCCCATTCACACATGTCCAAAAATGACCATGTGAGCACTCAGCTAGAAAGCAGCTATCTACAATACAGGAGGAGGGCCCATATCAAGAACTGAATGTGGGACCACCTTGATCTTGGGCTTCCCAGCTTCCCAGAACTGTGAGAAATTAGTGTCTGTTAATTAAGGAAACTAGTCTATGGCATTCTGTGGTAACAGTCCAAACTAACTGGAAACACAGCTAGTGTCATTTCAAATGAATTCTGTAAAACATCATTCTGGACACTGAATAATACAGAGCAAATCATGGAGCTAAGCCCAGTCATTTCCTTTAAGGAGAGAGGAGTATGTAGCCATCACTGTATTCAATGTATGACCAAGAGCCCTGAGGGATAAACACTGGGCTATCAGAGCACTGAGAATAGAAAAAAGTAATATTAACTTGGAGGGTAAGAAACAATTCACCCAAATTAGAGAGAAACAGACGTAACAACAATGGAGAACACAATGAAGGAAAACCGGCTGACTGACCTGACTGAGGGTTCTCACCAGAAACATATATAAAGGCATCCTCCAGAATTAATAAAAAAGTGTAGGTTAACAACATTATTTTTTAGGTTTTCCTAGTAGATTCTTGTAATACTGAACTTCCCATCTAATGAAACCTGTGCTTTTACTTATTTATTAATGAAATCTGTGCTTTTAAAATCCACAGTGAGCAGTATATATATTTAATGTAATAATGTGTACATATGTGTATGTATATATACACATACACATATACCCACATGGATAATGCAATGAAAATTTTGACTGAGTTACCAATCTTTAAGAAAAATAAAATAAAATGACATTTTTAGGAGGGTGAGGGCTGTATTTTGTCTGTTTCCATATGTGAGTTGAAAATTGCTTACTTGAATGTGTTTCATAGATTTCAGGAAAAACCATTCAAAGTTGAAGAGTTAAGAAACCAAATGGAAGTAGATAAGACCAGTCATAAATCATGGAAACAGGGGAATTTAGTATTTGTTTTTTTTTTAAATGTTTATTTAAAACATTTAAAAGGAAGGGCAGAGAGAGTGGGGAGGAGCTTAGGATCTGAAGCAGGATCTGTGCTGACAGCAGAGGACGCATGAGCCTTGAGATCATGACCTGAGCTAAAGTTGGCCACAACCAACTGAGCCACCCAGGAGCCGGTATTTGTAATGTTCATGTCACAACAGTCTGATAGGTGCTGAGGAGACTGAGGCATAGAGAGGGCAAATGATAGGAGCCTCTCACGTCTTGCAGGCAGGCATGCCATGTCCCTGTGGCTACAGTTAGCCAACACAGGAGACGTACCAGTTAAATGCCCTCACTTTACAGAGAAAAGGTTCCATGACTGAAGGGTTTCTCTTACATACACCCATAGGACATCATAATATTCAGGATTTTTATTTTTTTTATTTAATTTTTTTAATGCTTATTTATTTTTTAGAGAAAGAGAGACAGAGTGTGAGTGGGGGAGGGGCAGAGAGAGAGGGAGACACAGAATCTGAAGCAGGTTCCAGGCTCTGAGCTGTCAGCATAGAGCCTGACGCAGGACTCGAGCTCACAAAACGCGAAATCATGACCTGAGCTGAAGTCAGGCACTTAACCAACCGAGCCACTCAGGTGCCCCTATTCAGGACTTGTAAAAGGTTATCTGAGGTGCCTGCATAAAGCTTAAGCCCGAAGTATACATAAAAAGCAATTTCCACCAATAATGGAAAGATAAAGAATGAGGACAAATCAGAAACACTAGAGAAGCTTTTAATGCCAACCCATAAACTAGAATGCTCTACAGTACATCAACTTAGATTTATTGAACTTTATCTTAAGCAATTGGATTTTTCTGTTATTGTTTTTTGAGAAATGAGCAATTCCTAAATCAGACTCTCTAAATGCTTCCTACATTTTTCTGTGATAAACCAAGGGTAGTAACAAATATTTATTATTTATGTTAATGACAGGACCTACATTTATTCCTAGTAAGCCAGTTAAGTAACAATCAGTAATTTCTTTCACACATTCAGGGTCATAAAGAGCCCAGTTTTAATTGGGCCTACACAAACATATTGTGAGTTGGAGACAAGTGTGCCCAGAGAATTACAAAGTGCTTTGTACAAAGTCATCAGACTTAATAAGGCTGAACCTTAGCTCCACTCTTAGACCAACAGTAAGGAAGCAGAGTGTGGCTTCCTGGTGGGTGGGTAACCTTGTGCGAGAAGCCGGGCATTTTACCAGTAGCCAATTTCAGTGAATTTCTTCAGGATTTTTCCTATACATAAAAAATATATTATTATGCAACTTTTTCCTGCATTTGTTTAAGTAAACAAAGCCTTTAGACCTAGAGTTTTCAGAGCAGGCAAAATAAAAAATATCAGGGATCCTTAGGTACACAGTAAAAATAGAATAAGACTAAATGGAAACACATATTTTAAATGATTTTTGACAGAGAAACATGAGATTATACAAACTAAATCTGCACAGTCCATACATTGATAACAGCTTTTTAGCTGTTTTAGATTTTTTCTCTTGTTTTTGATTCTAAAAATAGTATTTCTCTAATCTGCCATTTGTTTGCACCTCTTTCAATCCAAATGTAGGGAAAAAGAATAAGCATTAAAAAAATCTCCAAAGGTATTGCATCATTGTGTAATTGCATCAGTGGTTCTCAGGTGTTTCTGGGCTTTTAATGTTTATTGATTTATTTTGAGAGAGAGAAAGAGAGTGCACGTGTGCGTGTGCACATGTGCACGAGCAGGGGACGGGCACAGAGAGAGCAGGGGAGAGAGAATCCCAAGCAGGCTCCGTGCCGTCAGCGCAGAGCCCTACGTGGGGCTCCATCCCAGTAACGGTGACACTGTGACCTGAGCCAGAACCAAGAGTCAGATGCTTACCTGACTGAGCCACCAGGCGCCCCTAGAACACTCGTTGTAGCAGCAATGGTCCTAAGGCAAGTGATGAAAAGAGCCAGCACTTTCAAGTTTGCTGCCTGAAGCGAAACTTTCTGTCATAACTATTTCAGATGGTCAGGATTTACTTAAATGCAGAGCCCGTAAAGTGGAGGTTCTGACAACTGAAACAAAAAGCAACAAATGCCCTTCTGTGGTAGCGGTGGGGGAGTTAGAGGAAGCTCTGCTTAACTCCATTGTTCTCAAAATCGCCTGGGGAGCTTTTAGAAGCTACTGATGAGGAGAGCCCAGCCAGGAATAATTTAATAGGCTTGGGGTGAGTGTCAAGGGTCAGGGTTTTCTTACACGCATCCCAAGTGAATCTCATGTGCAGGAAGTGTTGAAAACTATGAACTTAACTTTTAAAGAAAGTATCCACTTTTGGAAGGATAACTGTTATGCCCTAGGAGAAAGTATTTTCCATATTAAGCCTCTGGTGTATACTGGTATGTATTAGAAGATATTTTCTTTGGGTGGCTCAGTTGGTTAAGTGTCCGACTTTTTTCTTTTAATTTTTTTTTTTTATTGCTTATTTAATTTTGTGTGAGAGAGAGAGAGACAGAGTAGGATTAGGCAACGGGCAGAGAGAGAGACACACACACAGAATCTGAAGCAGGCTCCAGGCTCTAAACTGTCAGCACAAAGCTCATTGCAGGGATCGAACTCATAGACTGTGAGATCATGACCTGAGTCGAAGTCAGAGGCTCAACTTACTGAACCACACAGATGCCCCAAGTATCTGACTCTTGATTTCAGCTCAGGTCACCTCATGGTTTGTGGGATTGAGTCCCATGTTGGGACTCTCTTTGGGATTCCCCTTTTCCCTCTCTCTTTGCTCCTTCCCTGCTCATGTTCTCTCTTTTTCAAAATAAATACATAAACTTAAAAAACAAGATATTTTAAGTATAAAATAATAATGATCATCATTAAGATATTAAATAACATAAAATTAAATAATATAACAAGTATACTATTGATTAAAATTATTATAAATAATACTGTTCTAATATTAGTTTTAAATAATTTTAGATTTTAAAATAATAATGACAATTATTTTACAGTTACGTAATCCTGCCTAAAAAACAGCTGGCTCTCTAGAAAAAAATGTTGTCTTCCAATGTTCTCCAAGTGACTACATAGATTTTACAAAAGGTTACTATCTTCTACTTACTTCCTAGTCTTTCAGTGAATTTGATACCTTACTTGGATCCACTCTGCTGATCACATAAAGTAGAAAGACAGTGTATTACTTGATTATACTTTCAAAGCATCACTAAAGTGCACCTTGATTTTTGTCCTTGCATCAGGAATCATACTGCCCAGTGGTCCGGGTGGAACTGACATCTGAGTTGGATTGGTCCTGGCTAGACTCAAAGCGGGAGGTGGTTGATTACGGAACACAGTTGACAGGCAGAGATGGACGGTCTCTTTCATTGCTTTCAGCTGTGAGTCCTACGGACAAAACGAGAGATGACAACGGTTACATGTGGTTCTGGTGGTCCTTGACGTGATTTTATTTGATTCTCCCAGTCCTCCCAGCCTATGCTTGCTGGGAGCCGCACCGGCCTCTCTGGATGGCAGTCACAGCAAGGAAATGGCAGTGTTTGCACAGCTCCTGCCGTGAGAAACAAAAACTGGTATTTCCTTCTGCTACTACTGGCTCATGTTGGAAATGAGCCTGCTGGTATTGACCAGGCCTCACAATATTCCATATCAGACCCATATTCCGAACACAGATACCACATAAGGAAAAGCATATTACTGCCTTTACAAAAGAGATTTTAGATGAGAGCTCTGTGAGTGAATGTCAAAAGCCTCTTACTATAGGCCTTGCATATCAAAGACAATTGAGCCTGGCCCCAAGACAAAGAGTCTAATTTAGAGTTTAGGAACAAACAGGGGTAGAACTTAACACTTACACCTTCTTCTAACTGGTGATGTACGGCAGTCCCTTCCCCAAGGCATACCTTCTGTAAACCTCCTCCCTTACAGGTGGCTGGGATGAGGATAGATGAGAGTAGCTAACACATAACCCAAAACCAAAAGGCTAACACATTTAGGGCCCCGTGGTGTTCACATATTCAGCATCAAATAGGTTTCCACAAACTAACTAGTTCAAAAACATTCATCCTCTAGAGAGCCAAACAGAATAATTCCTAGCCTAACTATTTATGACTTAACATATATATGTCATCCTATTTTTCATTAAGAACATCCTGTTATTTCCTTAGTTGTAAAATTCAACCTCACTATGATTGAGGTAATTCACAAAAGGCTTCCCATTGTAAAAACTCCTTTTTCTGATCTCATGTTGTTCTTGAACCTTTAAATAAAGACACCAAAACCGACAGGGCAGAGATGCCTGCCTGGTGTTCAGAAGGAATCTCCGGGTTCTCTCACTCTCTCTCTCACTGACACTGTCCATCCTTCAGGGACCCCTGGATCTGCCGGAGCCAGCCTCCGACATATGCTCATTCCCCTCACAAATACCTACCAGTGTTCAACTGCAATTGCCTAACTTCTAGATTCCACTATGATGTGCTGTTTAATACACATGCAGTCTGTTTTTAAAAGCTACTGTGTCTCGTGATATATTTTGAACACTAAATTGAGAGACATGTTACTGGAATGGATGTGATAGTTTGCTGGCTGGGCAATGTAATCTTGGGTCACCTTCAAGTAGAAAATGTCCTTAGAAACTTGCCATCTTTCAATTAGTATTAATCTCTTTTACTACGAAGTATTCACAGGGGCAACTAGGCCCCTGTGTTTCTCAGAATTAGCCTGTAGCACCACTCAACTTCTCCACATATTGGAGAAAATAAATTTTGTTTCTAATAAAACTCTTACTTCCTATGGGCCTTGTTAAGTGGTAAAGGTTAATCTGATGTGACTGTAAATTATAAAACTTACTCTTTCTTGTATTTGCATAGGACATCACAGTATTTCAAGCTCTTTCACATGCAAGAAATAATTTTGTTTTCTAACAACTGTGAAACTGGCGTCATTATTACTATCTTAATTTAAAGAAATGAAAGTTCAAGGTTTTCAGACTTGGGTTTTTGTTTTTTTTCCTGGTTTATATCACAAGGCAGACTGAACTAATGTAGACAATCATCTGTAACTCCCATCTTACCTCCAGAATCCACTCTAAAAATATTTTTAAATGGTGATAGAATAAAAAAAGTAATAATGCATAAAGCTGAGTACAAATCAGAGAGAGATCCCCCGGTGCTAAAATGGAGACATGCAACTTTCAGGAAGCTTATGTTACCTTGGGGATAATTTTGGCTACGGATGTAGGCCCAAATAAGAATGTGCTACATAATCATCCATTTCAAGACATGAGATGTGGTGTTTGGGGCAAGAGAGATGAAGAGACTAGTTACTGGGGCCACGATCCCTGGACAAGCTGGCACATGTGGAATGTCCACGTTCAGTGCACGCATGGATCAATGAAGCGGTGAAGTCTGTTGTCTTCACAGTAAGGTAGTACACTCCTCAAAAATCTTCTGTCTTTTTGACACTGTACCAGGAATACACTTTCATATAATGTCTGCTCCTCTTTCCTGATCTATGACTTAGATCCTTTCCAAGGTCTACCTCTGACTTTCCCACTCTTATGTGGTACATGGCAAGATTTTTTTAAGATGAGAAAGAATGTCTGAATGTCTTGCTAGAACAGTAGTTTAAGACACCTATTTGGTCATAGCAAGAGATAAAAAAAAAAAAAAAAAAAAAGCAGCAAGAAGAGCAGCAAGTGGAAATATATAAGAAAAACAACCAACATGTATTTTCTTCTCATTAATATTGCCCTGACAAGTTATCTAAGACAACATAAAAGTCTGGTAAGAACTATGAGTGTTGTTAAGTGGGCAGGACATGGCTAAACTGAATGACAACCTTTTATTCAAAACGGTCCCTTTTATTTGCTTGCCTGAGCCCCTAAATTCTTTAAATTTTTTTAAACATCTATTTATTTTTGAAAGACAGAAATAGAGCATACTAGAGGGGAGGGTCAGAGAGAGAGGGAGACACAGAATCTGAAGCAGGCTCCAGGCTCCCAGCTGTCAGCACAGGGCCCGATGCGGGGCTCGAACTTGTGAATCACGAGATCATGACCTGAGCCCAAGTCGAATATTTAACGGACTCAGCCACTCAGGAACTCTTGAGCCCTTAAATCAATGTCCTTCCTCCACCCCATTAGTTTCTATCCTTCCTCTTTTCTATTCTATCATATATATTTGTTTTTTTCATATAATTTATCTCTAATTTTTAACTTATAAGTGTATATATACACGTATAAGTTGCCTATTTCGTTCAAAACTGTGTATTTAGCACTTAACACGATCCTTGACACATTAGAAGGGGCTTGCCAGAAAGTGTTTTGAATAAATGACTTAAACACTTAGGTGAAAATGTTGTTTCTCTATGTCAAGGAAGGAAAGTGACAAGCTATATCAATGAAAAGAAATTAATAGTTCAAATTTCTCTCCATATTGGTGCTTTGTTATAATCTTGGCTGCCTCTTTTCTTCCCTCACTACAGAATACAAGATCATGGCATTGTGTGTTGTGTCAGGAGTGATATATTCCAGGTAGTACTGAACAATTTATATATGTTTTCTGTCTCATATTATAGTGAGACAATGGGAATAGAGCTAATATGACAGAGTCAGCAGGTTTGGGCCCAGACTCAAAGTTAATGTCCCTCTGAAATATAGACTTCCAATCACCTCAGATCATGCAGGAATGAATAATGGTTATTTTATTCACTGCATTCATATCTTGGCCCCTCTAAACACACTATGTATATAAAAGTTGGATCTGTAACAGGCCTAAGGTATATGTTGCCATAGTGAACAGATTTCTGAGTAATAGCTGAACTTGGATGCTGAAATTATATAATAAACTGTATCAAGTTAATAGCTTAGAACATCGATTTTCACTAAATGCTGTTCAGGCAAGATAAATTTTCCAACAGAACAATACGGGTGTGTGTGTGTGTGTGCATATATGTTATATTTTTAATGATCTGAACTTGGTGCGATCATCTCATCTGTTTGTAAAGGTCTCCTGACACAACAGAATCAACACTGCATAGACATAACCTCCAAATCCCTACCCTTCATGGCCATGATAGTAGAACTATCTTTGCTCTTCTGCTTCATCTGATTCTTAACTTCTTACCTCCTCATTTTTTTCTTTTTTGGACCACAAGAACTTGACCTCCGACCTTAGATTCTGCCTCTGCTCCTTGTTATATTATAGGTTGTTCCTGCCAGACACCACCGTTTGCTGTGAGCCACCGTCCTCACTTGGTCAGCTTTCTACCACAAAAGCATCTTCCTAGTTAGTTCCTCTGACTTAAGAGACTGTTAAAGATAGTACTCAGGTGTGGCTTGACCCAGTTCCATGAGCAGGACTCAGAAAATGATTTTACACCCCAACATCATTATATTTTCACTTATACTGCTGGCTGCAGTCTGTTTTGAAGTTGCAGGCTACTGTTCATTTTGAAGTTCACCTTAACAGTATGTCACCTAATGAAATATGATGTAAATCGTACAAAGCGTATTTTGCCCAAGATCTTACAATCTATTCCGTCCTAAGGTCAGTCTTCTTTTCGCCCTGCTTTTCTTCTCATTGCACCACTCTTTCCACTTTGCTTTGCCACATGGTAGTAAAAGGCACATTTTTTGAGAAAAATCTGATTGCCACAACACCTTTTATTTATAGCCCATCAATGATTCCAAACAAATTTGTATCCTAAAGCCTTTACACTTGCTGTTTCCTGTGCCTTCACAAGCCCTTTTCCAAATAACTATGAGAAAAATTCCACTTAAAATTTCTCTCTCAGTTCATATCATATCTTCTTGGAAAAACAGTCCTTGATTAGCCTTTCAAGGAATACTCCTTCTGTAAAGTGTCTGTCACATTTCTTTCACATTAAGTCCTATGTAGCCTTGTTGTCACTGCAGACTACCTTATTTCTTATATGTTTCATTTAATCTATTTCCATTATAATTTCTTTGAAGCCCAGTACAGCACCCCAGTCTCTAACTCAACAAATGTTTGCTCAATGCATAAATAAGGCAAACCCTCCAGAGAATATAGGCTGGTGCTGTTTTACATGAGAAAGTAATGAAACATTTCTCATTTTATCCTGTATATTGTATAAAGAATTATTTTGGACATTAAAATACTAGTGCTTGTGCTGTATAGTACGCACAGCTGATAAGCTGATAAGAAACTGTGGTGTACATATATGATCTTAACATGGTGGGAGATTTAGGGCATTTCTTGTGTGTCTATATGAGGATCCTTCTCAGAAAAATGCACATTTTTTCTGGGAACAAAATATACCTTGCAAAGACAACTGAACCTCTAATTTCTCACTTCCTGATAGTCAACAATTCACGAGATATTATTCATGCCTCTCAATTCATTTAC